GTAAATAAGTAGGTATGTTTTTCAGTGAATGAGTAATTGAGTGGCCGAATGAGTGAATGAAGAGCGATTGAATGAGGGAATGAGTATGATAGAGTTAGTGCTTGATTGAATGGATGAATGAGTAAGTGAATAAAGTATTAAATGCATGAGCGATCCTTTGAATATTTGGTTAAGAGATTGAAAGTGGTTGACTGATTAATTGATTCACTGAATAATAGTGAAAAAGCGATGAAATGAATGAGCGGGTGTTTAAGTGGGTGCGTGAATTGTTGAATGATTGATTGACTAATTTATTGAGTGAGTGTATGAATGATTGTTTGAGTGGATGAGTGAATGAATTAGTGCTAAAGTGAGCCCGTGAGATAGTGGCGATTCAGTGAATGAATGGATGTAGGTAAGTGAGTTTTTGGGTGGATTAGTGAATAATCCCGTTTATGATGGAGCGAATGAATAAGTTATGACTAGATTGGTAAGTGAATAGTTAAGTGAATAGGGGGGCGTGAATGAGCGGATGTTTGAGCGTTTGAGTTAATGTTTGGATGAAGAATGCGCAGTTTGAGTGATTGATTAGTTGATTTAATGAGTCAATGAGAATGAGCAAGTGTCCCGTGAGGCTAATCTAGGCAGTCGTGTGAATTGTTTGAAACGAAATGAAACACAAAGAAGACAATGTGAGCATATTCTGCTTGTGTCTGTTTCGTAACTATCAAAAATCCTTGAAGAAGGTCCCTTAGTAGTGGTAAGGGAAGCTTTCTCAAAATGACATGCGCAGGTATGAGGTTGCTGTTGAAAAAGTAATAAAGTGACGTACTCCACCTCGGATGAGAAAACCGAATAGGAAGCAAGGCAAGGTGAACTTTAATAGCGTTGTGAGGCCTAAAATACCTACTTAAAATTTGGTAAAGTAGTATCATTTAATATTGGTAGATTATGCCCAGAACGGTTGGGAGACGTTGCAGGACTCGCCTAATTACCGCTTCAGCTGGTTTTCGCCAGTTAACTAGACATTGGCATGGCAACATCAAATAGCCCAGATTGAACAGTCGACGGTTTGAGTTCGAGCCTGGGCGGAGGTAAACGCACTGGTTGATCGTGATTGGCCAGGCGGCTTGAAGACCTCGTGGGAAATTGAAATTGTCGCTCTGGCCGCGATGACGACGCCGGTCCAGTCGAAGGCCGCATGTCGAGAGGGTTCATTGGCACGTGTTGACGCGTGTGAGTGTGTCTGTAGGCCTAGCAACCGGTGCGATTGGAGAGGACAAATGGCCAGCGATTTTCGAGGGATCGATTGGGAAAAGGGTGTCTACAATGCCATTTTGCCATCCTTTCTGTAGCATGATCTTGAATCGTACCCATTCGGCCAGATGGAAGTGCGAGAAGGCGTGCATCTGCTCGCCTGAGTGCCTCCGGTCTGGGGTGGCGACAGGGACAAGCAAGTTGCCTAATGCTAACCGGCTGTTTGGTAGTATGGTCTCAGACACAAGTGGTAGCCCCTTGTGTGAGCTGTGGCCTATGGAATGCCGGCTAGTCCCTAAAAAGAACAGCAACAGCTGCCATCGTTGGCCTGCACGGGTACAGACTTAGTCGTCACGCGCAAAGCCATTCTGGAACGAACTCACGACGCGAAAGCATACAAGAGTGCCCATATCGTTTCGCCTAGCGCTGGACTGCCCTATCGTGCCGTTTGACATGTGAATCTTGGCTGCATTTTCGTCGAGATGCCAACCGGACGAGACAGGAGATTAAGGGCTAAATTGGCTGGAACGCAAGCATTCCAAGCCTCACATGCTTCGCATAGTAGGACTGGACAAAATGAGCGGATCTACTTATGCGCCAGATAACAGGCTTCAGTTTGGTGTAGAGATTTTGGAGTGAAATAACAATTTCTAAGCTAAAGCAACTACAACACACATTATAAGGAAATACTCGTTAACATACAATCGGTAGTGTAGTTTCGGTAATCAATCCTGACTATATGGCCTATTTGCTCGTGTGCGAAAAGAAAATTTCATCAACAGTGTTTCGTCGATAAATCTCTGCAGGAGGTATGTACCAGCTCCATCATCACACTTCGGCATAGCGCGCTATCTGCCAAAACTATCGGTAAATCTGTGGGAAAAGGATGAGAATCCAAATTGGAGCCGGAGTACCATAGCCCGGTAGTATAAACCCAACAGGCCTCCTCGTGTGGGTTGATGCACAAATTGTTTTAACCTTCTAGATCTAATCGACAACCCCAGGGAGGCTGTGGTACCACGTTGCCACTCGACTACACTCGACTATTTGCAGTTATTTTTCGTTTATAAGTGTGTTTTTGAGACTATCATTAAGTCATATATATATATATATATATATGGGGAATATTCATCCTACTTCGTTTAAAGTGATGAAAAATGGTAATTAACTTTTCCCATAATAATATAAGTTGGCCTCAAATGTCCATTGGATTTCAACCTAAATTTCATACCTTAATTTCACTTCTATTCTGTGACAAATCAGCAATCGTGGCTGTGTCGAGAATATACGTTGCAATTCCACAACTAGGGATATAGTCCTATCAGACTGCTGATGAGACCTAGGAGAAATGGAAACTGCAGCCCAGACTGGATGGGAATACCTTTTGGCAAGCACAATTATATGAAATTTTACGGAAACATAGGGTCATTTACATAATTGTGGTAAAATTAAAATACTTGTTCTTCATCCCCTTTTACATAATAGATTGAATGTGGCTCCTATATCAGACCCACTGCTAGTCTCGAAAACCTAATTATAATGAAGGAAAAAAGGTCAACTTGTTTTACCGAAAAAGAATAGCCATGGAGGACTTTAAATTTGTGGTAAACCAGAAAAGAGAAATAGTAAAACAATTAAAGGAATTACCGAAACTTAATTTCTTTAGCATACATAAATAATACAAATAAAACAGATGAAATAATCTAACGGAAAGAAACGAGCGAAATCAAACAGAATACAATTCACGTGACAGCAATCAAACTATTGCAATGCCAAGTTTTCACAATATGCTCTTGGCAACTATGTTAACTTAATACTAGGCGTCGTAGTCTTTCGTACACTCTCGATTGCCTACCCAGCTTATAAGTACTAGGCCAGCAAGTCGCATTTAAATAGCATTTAAATCTTTATTTTGAAGCGAATTAGATACGTGATGTCGAAACTTGCTAAGGAGCTGTAAGAGCTAGAAAAATGCAATCAATTGTAGGGACTACTTATTCCTAAACTGATTCAGGATGAGTCTAATTCTTAATTCAGATCTTTTGATAGGCTCGAGGCATACCCTCCATGTATCTAAGCCTTATGTACTTTATTAGTCCATTATTATGCCCATATATGTTCTTATGCGTGAGTACGTGTGCAGAAAAAAGCTAATAGCATATGCGTCTACGAGCAACTTCATCAGACGAATGCGCAAGATGAAAGTCATCATGATTTAATACCTCAAGAGATTCTCTGAAACCCAGCTTTACTTAATGCACACATAAACACGCACACAGTCACGCCATCACACATTGGCAAAAATTGAGGTATCAACTGGGCAAGTTGAAATGTACCCTCAAAAGATTGG